GGTTTTTTGTACCGGTGGGGCAGAGGCCGGCCTCAATGCTGCGAGGCCTGGCCGTGCCCTGAACCGTCGAGATCGACGGTTCAGCCCCAACCGGCGGGCGACAGCCTCAAGAGCGCCGCCAGGCCCAAACGGTAATGTCGTTTGGGCCTGCCCGTCGGGTCTGGTCCAAGTCGTGGCCTTTCGGCTTGATAATCCCCCAAGGTCAGGCCTTTAGGCCCTAATGTGTCCCTCTAGCCCTATGTCGGGTCCGGTAGGACCCGTGTGGCATCGAAGATGTAACACACTCCCCTCTTAAAAGACCGAGCTACCTGCGAGGGCGGAGTTGTCTGCCCGATACCGGGATCGGTCGGGTGGGACGAGCTGCTTCCTTGGCAAGGCGTCGCTTCTCATAGTCGGAGAAGATGAGGGGTGCAGAAGTCTGCAAGTTTGCACTAGAGATCCATCGAGTGTCGTCAGGCGCACATTGCTTGAATGTGACTTTGAACTGCATTGGCTTGTTGCCATACTTGCGGTGCGTGATGACTCAGTCGACTTCCTGATGTCCGTCCATAGAAGGCAGATCCTGTGATCGACGGCCGGGAAACTCGTCGGCGGAAGGTGGTGTGAAGATGGCCAACTTCGACGCGTGGAAGACACGGTGCACTGGAAGGTGCGGGGGAATGTTGACCACAAAGGAAGGAGCTGCGGGGTCGTCTCCAACGRCAGAAGTGACTTCCCATGGTCCGAACCATTTCGGAAGGAGTTTGCAAGAAACGTCCTGCTCGAGCGCAAAGTCCTCGGAGAGGACCCAAACAAGGTCTCCCTCGCGGAAAGGACATGGAAGTCGACGTCGGTTAGCTTGTTGCTGCATGCGGATTTGAGCCTTTTGCATATTCGCGCGGGCTTTGATCAGCAAGTCTTCGTACTTCCGAACGAAAGCGGGAGAGCAAGGGACGTCTATGTCGGCAGCCTGGGGCAAAAGGAGATCAGCGAAGATCCGTGCTTTCTCTCCACCATGATGTAGCTCGAATGGTGTGACGCAGATCGTCGGGTGCACTGAAGTGTTATAGGCGAACTCGATGTCGGGAAKCCGGTCAACCCAATCTTTCTGGTCGGGACGGATGAGCGTACGCAACATCATCTGAGCGGTCTGGTGCGCTCGCTCCGTCTGACCATCCGTCTGCGGGTGCCTAGCCGAGCTCGGCTTCATTGTCGTACCGGACTCAGCCATGAGGGAAGCCCAAAACGCCGACATGAAGCATCTCAGTCGCTCGGAACACCCTGGTTGGTAATCCAACCGGTGTGCAAGAGTCGTGCGAGCTCTGGCGCTGCAGCGTGATACTTGCAAGGAAGGAAGCGAGCATACTTGCTCAAATGGTCAACAACCGTGAGAATACCGTCATGGCCATGGCGATTGCGGGGGAACGGGCCTGTCACGTCCATAGCAATGGAGAGGCGCGGTGCTCGAGGAATCGGCAACGTTTTCATTTTGCCGAAGGGGACTCGAGATCGACCCTTCTTACGGTGGCAAACTGCACATGACTCAATGTACCTTGTGACGTCATGAAGGATGTCGGGCCAGTGAAAACGCTGGCGGAGGCATGCTAATGTGCGGTCCACGCCAAGGTGTGCCGAAAGTCGTGTGTCGTGGAATTTGCCGAGAAGACGAGTCTGTAAGATGCGATCTTGGGGCACAACTAACAAGTCCTTTCCTCTCGTGTGAAGGAGAAGGAACCCGTCGGAAATCCGATAGTGGCTAGCTGACGGGTGATCGGATGAAAGCTCCGCGTAAAGCGTAGAGTAAGTCGGATCAGACTTGTAGCCTTTGACGAAATGCGGCTGCAGATCGTCACCGAGGTCGAATGTCGTGGTCACAATGGCACAAAAATCGGGCCGTCGTGATAGGGAGTCCGCAGCTCGACTGGCGGGACCGGGAATGTGGCATAGGTCAAAGTCGATCTGGTCGATGTAATACATCCATCGACCGATCGTGCTAGTGACCGTATCCTGCGTTTTGTAAAAGGTCAACGGATTGTTGTCCGTATTCCATTTAAAACGCCGACGACCGAGAAGAAAGTGGCGCCACCGTTTGAGAACGGTGATGAAGGCGAGTAGCTCTTTCTTCCTAGCGTCGTCGAGAGTGTTCACGAGAGACACCTTTTGGGAGAAGTACTCGACCGGATGCCAACCGTCGTCGTGACATTGTTCCAGCACCGCACCAATACCGTATCCCGAAGCGTCCGTAGTCACTTGGGTGGGAAGGGTGGGGTCGTATACACGGAGGGCAGGTGCGGCTTGCATCGCTGCCTTCAACGTAGTGAACGCGCCACGGGCTGCATCGTTGAACTCGAAGGGCACCTTCGGGGACTGAAGTCTCGACAAAGGAGCTGCCACTTTCGAGTATGACTCGACGAATCGCTGATAATATCCAGCCAAACCCATGAAAGAGCGTACATCCGTCGTGAAACGGGATTCCGGCCAATCCACGATGGCTTGGATCTTGTCCGCTAAGGGACGAATGCCTTTCGGCGTAACATAATGGCCCAAATACTCAAGCTCCTGCTTGGCGAACTCGCACTTGTCGCGGTTCGCTTTGTACTTGGCCAGTCGCAAACGATCCAAAACAGCGCGAAGGTGTATGATGTGCTCGTCCAACGTCCTACTATAGACCAAGATGTCATCGAGGTAGATGAGGGCGCTGCGATCGAGCAAGTCGCGAAACTCAGTCGTCATAGCTGCTTGGAAAGTCGCGGGGGAATTGGTGAGGCCAAATGGCATGACAACCCACTCAAAATGCCCGTACCGCGTCTTGAACGTGGTCTTGTACCGATCTTGAGGTTGGATTTCAATCTGGTGGTAACCCGACTTCAAGTCCAACTTCGAGAAGTGCGTTGCGCCGCCTAACCGCTCAAGGAGATCATCAATCCGAGGGAGAGGGCCGGCGTTCTTTACGGTTTGTGCGTTAAGTTTGCGATAATCGATGCATAACCGTAGATCTTTGTTCTTCTTCCGGACGAAGAGAACAGGGACACCGTATGGCGAGCAACTAGGGCGAATCCAGCCCTTGTCGAGAAGGTCATCGAGTTGTGCGCGAAGCATCTCGAGTTCCTCTTCGCTCATGCGGTAGATACATCCACGCGGAGGGACGGCGCCAGCCTCGAGCTTGATCCCGTGACGTATGGGTCGATCCAGAATCGTTCCGGTGGGAGCCTCGAAAACGTCTCTATACTCGTCCAAGAGGTGAGAAATGCGTGGGTCCGGAGGTGACGCGGCTGGTCCGTCCGGCGAGAGGAGAGCATGCAAGAATACAAGGCCCATCTCCTCGACGTCATTTCGAGCTGTAGCGTCGCAAATTCTCGCAACGGAAACCACGTGACAAGCAATCGAAGTGTGAGGGGTCGCGACCGTACATGGGACTAACACTCCGTTCCGATCACGGATGTGAACGGTYCGGTCRTGRAAGTTCAYCGGATGATCGGCGCTACGCAACCAAGACATGCCTAGAATCATGTCGAACTTGGTGTCGAGGATGTCAAAAGACACCGGCTCGCACGCAAGTGGCGCAAGTATACCGGAACGCCGTCGACGCATCGATCAATCGACTTTTGCGTGCGGCCGTCTGCGAGTATAACTTGCGTGGGTTGCGTCTTCCTTCGAATGCGCGGGCCAAGGCCTGCGCGGGCCATAAAGGCTTGGCTTATAAAGTTGCGAGACGCTCCGCAATCAATCAAGGCACTACACGTTGCCTTTCCGATTTGAATGCGGATATAGAGCAAAGGAGCGTTGGTTTCGGCGTACTTTGGGTGGCGTACTCGCGGTCAATCTTCGCAAGATAGGAGCGGAGATCGACAACCGCACCCCGTCGCCCGTCAACGGAGCTGGTACTGTAGTGTGCAAATAGGAGCGTAGATTTGCCATCAAGGCGTTGCAATGCGGCCTTGGCAAGGTTCCGGTCGAGGGTAGAGGCATCCAAGCGAAGTCCTCTCTCGTGAGCGGGTCAAGCTCCTCAAGTCTTGACCACGCCGTCGAGTCCTCGGAAATCAGTGGCGAACTGACCGGATCACTTGCCGACGGTGTACAGGGTGCGCATACGCAATCTAAGTGCACGTGGCTCGGCTGGTCTGGTGGTGGTACCAGCTGGGCGGCATAATCCTTGTACGTAGCACGAGAATCAGCGACTAATGCATGCTCCCCGGTAGTGACATCGATTGTTAGCAAGGCAACTGGGTCCGGCGAAGTGAGGAGAGACGTCGCCCCTCTCCTTGCGTAACTCAGTTTCCCGAGTTAGCTGGACGGGGTACGCGTGCCTTGCCCTTTCTGGGGCACTGTGCGGTCAAGTGAGTGACTCCATTGCACCGAAGGCAATATCCATACCGTTGAGAAAGGTCATAGATTTCCTTGTTTATCTTGTATGTCGTCCATGGCTGCTGCCCAGTTCCCGTCGATGCCGTCTCTTGTGTCGCCTTGTTCTTCTGAACTCTCTTGGGACGCTTCGGCGGGAGCGCTGCTACAATTCCTCCATCACTCGAGGATGCTGCTGCAGCGTGGAGATCGACTGTTTCTTCAGAAATCACGACATTGTTATGTGCCGGTCGTTGATAGCCATCCTTAGCCACATAATGCGGCTGGGACTGCCGTTCGTTTGCGGCCTTGTCATCCGTTTGGATGACCAAGTTCGCACGATCCAGGATGGCCTGGAATGAGGCGTAATCGTACTCGTTGCCGAGTGCGGTTCGCAGCCCTGCGCACGATCGTGAGAAGAACTCGGATTGTTGGTTGGTAAAAAACTCAAATCGAAGCCTGGCGTGGTCACTATCTTTTGCCACTTGGTTGTCCAGTCTCGAGTTCGCATACTTCCTTGTGAGCAGGTGTACACCTCGTTCATGTTTGCCTTCACGATGTTGCGGACCATGAATCGAGTGAACCACTGTTGCTCGAACTCCTTCCACGTGATGTGCGTGTGGAGTTCAGCGATGGTGCATTTCTTGGTAGCCGCCAGATGGTTCATCCATGCCTGCGCTCCTCCAATCAATTGCAAGTAGAGCGCCTTCATCATGTCGTCAGCCGGGACAGTGCGGCAAGATGCTTCTGGGAGGAAACTTTGCCACCATGTCAAGGCGTCCGACTTGTTGTAGTCGTCGAACTTGCTGATGTCGAAGTGCGGCATCTTGTAATTCTTTGTAGCGGCGTCCGGTCTTGTCTGCAGTTTGGTGATGCTCGTCTTGATGGCGGCCACCGTGCTGCTGATCGTGGCCGGAATAGTGAAATCACCTAGTTCGCCAATGATGGTGACGATGTGATCGATGCGCTCATTGAGTTGCTTCGTCGCGTCTGTCGTGCAGCCTGGCGCTGCTGAGGCCTTAGCCTCGATGCTGTTGATGCGTGCGAGAGTGGAGTTCAACAGCTGTTGCTGTTGCTGCTGCTGCGTTGCTGCGGCGCGGACGGCAGCTGTTAAAGCGGCCACCTCTTGCTGGTGCTTTTGTCTTTGCTGTCGTTCAGCGAGCAGGTGTGCTTGCAGCAGTTTGTTGTTCCACATTACTCCCCTCATCACGCTCAACATCACGGTAGCCAGGTTACTTCTCTCTGCCTCCGCCTGTGTCGGATCCGCCTGCGCGTCCGTGCGCGTCCGTAGGCACAAAGAACATGCCTTGGAGTATAGTTGTCCACTGATTCTCATTTTGAATCAGGGACTCCATTCCGTCTGTCTCGTGCCGCTGCGTCAGCCTCAGCAGTCTGCTGAGCTTGGGCTGCCGCCTCATTGGCCAGCCGCTGATTTTCTGCCTCTGCTGCCTCCTGCTGAGCCTTGGCAGCAGCTACGGCATCTGTGAATACCTGTAGCCGCCCAAGGTAGTCAGCCAACAGTTCATGGGCCACTTGGACCGGACATGCGGGAAGAACTCCGGTGGTAACCGTCTTAATGATAATCAATAAAACAGTATTTGCAATAATGATAATGAACGAATTTGAATTGTATCAAGATTAGGTATCCGTTGATATCATCTTTGAGTCCGGGAGTTCACCGTTAATTAGTGAACTACCCGGAAGTTGCAATTTTGAGGGTCAGATTCGGATTAGTTTGCCAAAAAAAATTCAGAAAAAATCCGGAGAAAAACACTCTAATTTAAAAAAAACGTGAAATTTCGGGAATTTCCACCGGCAAAATCCGATTTTTAAAGGCCTAAATCCGTTTTCGGAATTTCTCAAACAAGGGAAAGAAACAAATTTCGCGAAAATTTCGGAGTCCAACCCTAATTTTCCGCGATTCCGCGGAATTTCCGGATTTACGGTTCCAAAACGTTTGAATTTCCCAAGTTGATTGAAAACCAAAATTTTCGTAACCCTAATTTCCCATACTGCAATAAAACGGAAATGCCGATTTAGAAAACGAAATACAGGATTAAAATCAGAATGCTGAATTATAAAAACGGAAACCGAATTGAAAATCAGAATGCCGAATTAAACAGAGTACTGATTTCAACCTAATCACGAATCAATAATCAGAAATCCGAATTAAACAGAATGTCGGATTAGTATCGATTTATCGGAACGCCAATTAAACAGCATACCGGAGTAAAACAGAAATCCGAATTACAATCCGAATACCGATTTGAAACGGAAATGCCGAAATAAACAGAATACCGAAAAAAGAAAAAAAATTTGCAACTTTGAACTCGATAGTAATACAGAGCTGATTTGGAAGATTGAAGAAGCAATCTAATTCCTAATCAGACTTACCTGGTGAGCAGATCCGTGAAAAAACTGTTACATACTCGTGATGTTATCAACGAGTATGGGGCAGAACCAAAGATCAACCAATATAGGATGAGTATGTATGCAACGGAAGTCTGATAAACGGACTGACTCACATTGACTGACTCACATAGATATCACTCCACACACATAAAATCGTGAGATGGTGGGGTCTGAGCCATACATAGACGATGCTCAGCCCCGTACACACATACACAGATGAAAGGTGGGAGGGGAGACGAAGGAGGTGGGAGATGTAGGTAGCACCAGATGTCACCGAGATAGAAACCAGTAGGTCACCGATATGGTAATCCAAAATGTCATCGAACA